TACGCCTGCCCTTAACGTTCCATGCCTGCCCTCAACGTTCTATGCCTGCCCTAAATCAAAAGCGGCCCTAAAGTGCCTGGGATATATAGCACTGGAACATTCTTCGCTTTTCTTCTCCACTCTCCCATCCCTCCTCATATGTAGACCCTCCCGTATGTGTATGTACATAGCCCCTCCCGTATGTAGACCCCCCCGCCGTATGTAAACCCTCTCGTATGTAGAACTTCTCATATGTTAGTTATGTTTATATATTATATCATTGTACCTATATAATTAAAATGCGTTGTCACAAATACAAAGCACAATAAGTTCCCCCTCCCATTTATTACGTGTAGAACATCATCATTGATTACAACAAGGACAACAGGTACGCCTTCAATGCCTACCTATCTCATTGTAACTAAACTAATAACTTCTTTTATTCAGCCCACGACAGAACGCCGCCATGGCTGTCCTTTTCGGCGAACAGCGGTGCCCACGTGATGGAAAGCAACTGGCCCTAAAGTCAACCAAACATAAACAGCCCGCAAACCATTTCAAGCTTCTTTCCCATCTTCGTGCACCATCTGTGTAGTTTGTAGAGTAAATAGCTTTTAGAAATGTTTGTGCGTGCTAGTAAATGAACTCTAGATGACTCTAATGTAATAGAAATACCAGGAAATCATCATGGAAGCAGAATACACTGAGAGACCAACAAAACGTAGAAAACTCGAGGCAAGTTCTCTTTATTCTTGTGAGATTTCTTAGCAAGCTAATCACGCAATAGACGCCGCAAGCTCTTCAATTCTTAGATCTCGAAGCTGAAGTATCAGAGGCGGAAACCGATGATGAGAATGACGGCAACGAAAGTGTGTATCATACATTTCTAATGATAGTTAGTAGACTTCTAATTATTTTCAAGGTGATCTTATCAACGACGATGAAGACATTGATGAGTCGATCTCAGGAGATGCACACCGCAACCTTCTTTGCGAAGCGTTGATGCCATCCAATGACGACACGTTTTGGGAAAGCTTTCTCGAGCGCGTCACGGCTCATCAACGTATTGCGGAAGAAGACGTTCAAGATATTGGAAAGGTGTCTTTATTGGTGGTGCTTGTCAAGGTAACACTAATCCAATCTTTGAAGCTCATGTTTGTAATGACTTTCTACTTAGCCTGGATATGAGGAGCGGATAGTCTGTCGAGTCCATCGGCGGCTCATGGACCCTAGGTTTCCTGCACGGTTTCGACCCCCAGTGGTCTTCAGCTGGAAAGCTCTACCTGGTAGAGTGTTTTTTGAAGGTGGTTCGGAGGAGATGATTCGACAAGTCTGTAATGGCATACCCAACGTGATGCTCTCGAAGACTTTCCACATACCCGATCCTGACCCCTCCATCTTCAATGTTCCGGATACCTTTCGGCCAAAGCCTCATTCATGGGTTCAACTGCACCGTGGGATCTACAAAGGAGATCTCGCCTTCATTCAGGAGGTTCGCACTCATTCCACCTTGCTCGTCAACCTCCTTGTGGTACCACACATTGATTATGACCCACCTGCCGCCAAAGTCAAAGGAAGCCGGCTTATCGCATATGAGGAAAGAAATGATGAGACGGACGACGAGTTCGCAGCGACCTACAAGCCCGATCGCAAGCTAAATAGAAGAGCTTCAGCGCCAGGGCGGCCTCGCCAAGCTCTCTTCAATCCAACACTGGCGAAGCAACGGTTTTGTTGGGCCTTTCAAGAGCGCAACAGCTTGTCTTTATTCTGCGGAGTATTGTACGATGCTGACGGATATGCATATTTCTCGGAAGTCGACACGGATTGGTACACCGCAGAAGATGTAGTACCGACATCGAGGGAATTCGAACTTTTTAGCACCTGCTCGGACATTCCTCTCAACGTCCGACAGCACATGATGGCAAGAATGTCAGCCAGGATCCTTCGGATAGGCGATGGGGTGAAAATCACTCACGGAGATTCGAGGGGGCTTTTTGGAACGATTAAGGATATAACGAAAAACGAAGCCGTCATCTCTTTAATGATGGAGGATGTAACAACTACCGTACCCTTTTCATCCCTTCGAAAAGATCTCAAAGTAGGGGACGAAGTCCGCATTCTTTCAGGAGACCACGAAGGTGTTACGGGTTGGGTGGTGAATGGAGACGACGACTATGTGTGCGTCTTTAATGACAGGACCAGTACAGAGGTAAATGTCTTGCTTTTTATTATATAATACTTCTTCTAACATTCTGTCATCCTTTAGATAGAGGTATCTCCGGGGATTGTCCAGTTCTTCACCTCCCCCTTTGTCTTCAGAACAGAGTCCTCGGATTTAAAAGCTCCCTTCACAGATGCACAAAAGCGTGTCATGAAGGGGGACTCCAATAGTCATCTTGTAGGAAAACAAGTAATGGTCACCAAGGGGGATTTTAGAGGTTACCGAGGCAGAATAAAAAGCACGGTTGGTGAAAAAAGGGTCTTGGTCGAGCTCGAGGCGCGCCTCCAAAGCCCACAAGTTTTTGACATCAGTTCTCTACGCATCATGCAAGCCCCTTATCTTATTTTTTGAAATCGATGCTAATCAGCTTCCAGCGCTGACGAAAGGCTTCAGGCCCCCAGGCCTCGAGAGGTTCTCACCGATTTTACTTACCCACTTGAACCAGCGCCTCCGCCTGGTACTCTGGCAGGCTTTTTGTTCCCTGGTTACCCCTTGCCGGATCCGCAACCCTCAGTCACATATCCCGCTGCTTTCCTTCTGCAGACTCTGGCCATTGCAGGGCCATCTACTCCGCTTCCTAACTCGGAAGATATCCCAATGACCCCAGCTTGGAACCCAAGCTCACAAACCCCCTGCCGTGGTGATGATGGTAATTATGTTTCTGATTCTGATTCAAAGTCAATAGATACTGACGCAATTGTGGCAGCCTCTTCTCCGTATTGGCTCAAAGATGGCTGCTTTGCCAACATGAGACTGAGCCTTTGTCTCATCAATACCAACCCTAATTTCCATAATGGCCAGCACGAAGATAAGTGCGGGGAGTTCAAGGGAGTGGTCGGAGATGTGGTCAAGGTTCAACTTGGTTACAAAGTGGTTGAAGTTAGTCTCCTGATGTCAGACTCCGATATGAAGTTGATGATAGTCGATCAATTTCATATGGAGTCTGCTTTCAAACGCGCCCGCAACATGGGCGTAGATTATTTCCCACAATATTTATTCCCACGGTTCGCTTTTGCAACATGAAAAGATGTCATGTGATTGCTTCGCGCGACGCGCCTGGAGGTCAAACGGAAATAGAGGTTATAATTTCGAAGTTTCCTTTGCTCAATGTGCGTGGAACCGGCCACAGTCCCACCTGAGACACCTCATCAACAAAATATTGTTGCACCAATCACTCCTACCCCATTCTGGAACTACAATGGAGTTTCTGAAAGCTCATTTTCTCCAATTCCTTCTTCGCTGTCCCTGTCAGCTTGTAGAGGTATGAAGAGCCAGTACCTGGTCTTCCTCAAGTGCAGTTGTTGGATATATGGCAAGAATGGCTGGATTGGAGGGAATTTCGTGGTCGGACAAAGGGTAGGATCCTCCAGAATAGCAAGAATGGCATGCATAACCATGTATATATATGCAGCTTTTCCCAATCCCATTGCTGAGATTGCAAGGAGGTTGTTTACGTCAAGCAGTGAGGTAATACCCTGAAGTTAGTAGTCATGTGGACCAGATGGGAGGTGTTTCTGTTGGATTTGGAGGGAGAGGGCCCACCCCTCTGCAGATTTGAATGTAGACTTTTTGGTTACAGGTGTTTCAGGCATTATTACCAGGGAAAACGCGTATAATCGTCGATGAAGCACAACTAATTTACAACACGACGCGGTCCGTGGGAACAAAACGTGACCATTATTTTTACGCCTATGTTGACCTTACCATAAGGCCCAGACTAGGTTGAAGTGCCATTTCCATACTTAATACCTGAACGGCCGGAGTGTAAAGGCCAAGTCGTTACTGCGTTTGACAGCCCACATAGGGGGTTACAGTTTAGGATTAAGGAGTTTGGTGAAGAGGTCTGTGGCTGCTCGGTTTTGATATCAACAACACTTTTGAGAAAGGTTGATGTCAAAATTGCCACTAATCTACTGGTAGTGACCCGAGACACCTGGCGATGAAACACCTTAGATAAAATTTAAATACCTTAGAGAGACTTTTCTTGTGTATTTTATGCATATCTTGATGGCAACGCGTATACTATTGACCTCATTGCAAGACCCATGAGTCTTGAGATGACTGAACGAATGAACTTAAACGATCACTATTTATGACCGGCTTAGCCAGCTCCAGCTGGCTTCTTAGCCGGAGCTGGAATTAGCCGAGCTGTGGGAGTCATCACTCGGCAGTTCTGGCTGGGCTTCGGCTAAACTCGGCTCAGCTCCTGGCTTCAGCCGACTTTGAGCCAGAGCTGCAGCAACACTAGTTCGGTCCGGTTTTTTGATGCCCAGGGGT